TTAGATGTAACTTTTTAGCAAGATATAAGAGCTTGTTTCAGTAAATAATTCCTGAAAATATATGAAACTCTTCAGTTTCATTGGCAGATTTTTCACCTGTAACGACATTTTTCCCACATTATAAGTAAAACAATCTGCCAATGCAACTAGTACATTTTTAACTAATATTAAGGAATTACTGACTTAAAACAAGCTCTTCTATCTTGCTGAAAAGTTACTTGTAAGTTAGTACACTTGAAATAAGATCAAACTAAGATATTTGCACTAAAACCTAAACAAAAATACTTGGTAAGTTTTGTGTTTTTGCAGTGCAGAGTGAGATGTTGCTGCTGCAATAAAAGACTGATTCATTTCGATGCTTTTTACACGTCTTCACCAGGTGTGCTGACAAATCTGTCTGTACATGCATTCAGTTTTTCAAAATAAGAGAAGAAACTAAGGTGAATCAAAACGCCACAGTGCCTGGACGCAGGATGCCAGACGACAGGAAGGCCTTTAAAAAAAAAACAAAAAAAAAAAAAACAGTGCCTTTTCTCTTGTTTTTATGCAGACGGAGTCATCATGAGGCCTCCTGCTGGAGAAACAGTTCGAATCTCCTGCTCCTTCAGATCCGGCTCCTCGCTTTTACTTGAATGTTAAAAACAGAAACTTAGCGGTAATCTAAATACGTAGCCAGTACAAAAACAGTGTTTTTGTTTTGTGTTTTTTCGGCATAGAATAAAAACCGTTTCTCATTTCCTCTTGGCGTACAGGTGAGTTGGGTTTTTAGGTCCTTTTTCAGTCTGATTACTCAGCTGTTTGATTGAAAATCGCCACCTGGGAGCCAAAAATCACACCTTTGCTGCCATCCGTCAGGCTTCCGACTCTCCCCGCTTCTTCCCCTCCTCCCTGACGTCGCTCTCCTCTGATTGGCTGCTGCTGAGCACCAGGCATCCTCCATCAGGCGCGGGCAGGTTAGCACTTGAGGCAGCGATCTGCAACTTTTACACACGCGAGCCGGGCAGCCATATTGGATATGGGGCTCGAAGACTTCTGCCTTTCCAAGTGGGAATTTAGACTTCGGATAATATTAATATTGTATTTCCAATTAGGAACTCACAAATTTTCACTACCAAGTATAAATGCACCATAACAAAATTAAACCTTTTATCCAAGCAAGAATTATTTTATTTTTAAAACTAATTTCAGCTTCACAGATTATGTTTGCAGTTAGTTTCTTGAGAAAAGAGCTTGAGAAGTTAAAAAAAAAAAAAACAGATTATAAACCTGCAACCTTTTACCACCATGCTATTATGTCAAACAACCATCTTGGAGTTTGACTTGGGGCTGCTTGAAGACCTCCAAGTTTCCAAATCTGACTCCACAAATTATTCTTCTTGGTGAAGAGTGTGGGAATTCTTGCATCAAAGTGCAAACCGAATCCACCACGCCTTCAAACTAAACTTAGTCAAATCTAAGGCTTTGTCAACATAAAATCATGTTTGTACAAAGCAGTTTTTCTGTTGAGCAACAAGCAAACGTTCCTGAATGACACACCATCAGTTTTACAAAGTTGTTCATCAATACAAAACCTCTGAAAGTGACACACAAGGTCATATTTACAAATATGAAATGTTTACATTTTTGAATGAGAGCGTTTGCTGCCATTTTCTCGACTGAACAACATCCCCGTTACACCCCGCAAATCGACATTGATGGAGGCGACAGCATTCTATCCATGCAAACTTTAAGGAGAGTCAATAGTTCCTATTTGCAACTTTCACTGCATATTCGGAATTAAACTCGGAGCTCCATGAACAGGAAGTCGGAACTCTGACTTCAAGTGATGTTCCTTTAATATAAAACAGCCAACAACTCTGCAACACAATAGCCAAAACTAAGGATTTATCAATCAAACTTACCTTTTATTTTTACTTTTGCAAATCTTTCCAATCTGCTCCCTACCGTTTTATAAAGAGGGAATGTGGAGTGCTGGCACAGAGCATCTAAACCGTGTACACTCAGTAGCCTTCTTGTAGTAACATGGAAGCTGCGTGGTTGAAGACTCGGCAACAAACCCGACAACAGTAAAGTTACTCACTTAAAAAAAAAAATCTAAATTGTGTCGTTATTTTGCTGTAAGTCATATAAACGTATCACATTCTCTCTACCTGCCAACCCCTACAAACTAATTCAAAAGATCAGAAAGTGTGCCTGTGGTTCCATTTGAGCTCTCATGAGTAATATCTAAAATTGCAGACTAAGGCACCGGAAAGCGGGGGCCTCCTCGTGTCCCGACCCCGACGTCTAATCTGCTGTGCCGCTGTTTGTCACCCTGAATGCCACAAGAGAGCCGGAATAATTTAGACCACCGACAACAAAAGGAGTACAAAGGGAAGGAGCGAGAGTGGGCCTGTGTGTGTTGGGTGGGGAAGGGGGGGAAGAAGTGTGTCTGGCTTGCCGTCCTTCAACAATGCAGCTGCCACCCAATCTGTCCCCCTGTGACGGCAGTATTGTTCTCTCGGGCCGGAGCAGCATGCACAGACGGAGGTGGCGGTGGGGGGAGGCGGCCTTTAAACCTGATCACCCCCCACCACCCTCCCAAAAAAACCCCCAAAAAAACACACGCACACACACACACACACACACACATAAATACATGCAAAACACGGCTGGTGATGCAGCAGACACACCAGCATCAGCTGCAGATAGGATCTTTGAGGAATCAGCAAAAAATGAAAACTTGAAAAAAATCCTGTGACTGTGAACGTGAAACTAACGTAACCAAGACAACAAACAATTCTTATGGTTCCTCAATTTAAAAATTCTGGAAATTAATATTTCTATTTACATTAAATTATATATATATATATATATGTGTGTGTGTGTGTGTGTGTAAAGACAATGTTTTGATTCACATTTTGCTAAAGCTCTAAAGGAGGAGCTTTTAGTAAGCGCCTTTTGTTGGAAAACAATCAACTATTTGTCTTGATACAGGAAATTCGATAGTATAAACCTGTTTATTCTCTGATAGTATAAACCTGTTTATTCTCTGATAGTATAAACCTGTTTATACTATCAGAGAATAAAATCAGACTCTCAAATTAGGAACTTTCCATATTTAATAGGGTTCTCGTTTTCATAACAGACCTAGAAAGTTAACCTTTCTGTCCTGAACTCTCAATGTCCGACAGATCAATAAAAAAATCTAGTAGAACCGTGTTGCGTTGCATTATATTAATGGATTTGAGTCAAACTTTTTACGGGTTTTTATTAGTCAGACATAATTAACTTATGGAACCTTCAAAGAATCTGATTAGAAAAATCCTTGCTCACAGTCATAACCATAAGAAAATGATTATGATAATGATACCTGGTAATCTCTTTATTATTAAGGAATTTCAATTTATTTAAAAAAATGTATTTATTGATTTATTGTTGTTTTTAGCCTTGATTGGTTGAAGCAGTGGAATGTAGAGCGACACTAACTAGCTAATTATTATTAGTATGTTGTTTTTATTGACTTGCTGGGACATGAATTAAGGTCTGAAATAAAATATTACAGCACAAACATATCATCACCTTCCTAAAATAATAGTCTAATTCTTTTTTTTTTATTTACCAAAAGAAGTGGCGATTTATTTTATTTTACCAAAATCCCTTTTAGGCCGTTATTTTAGGAAAGTGACGATACAGAAAATGCAGCTTTTCTGACCAAATTCTCTACGTTTCTCCGCAGTGAGCAGATGCTGCAGCCTCCTCCCTGCCTGCGCTGCCGATGCCCTGCATGCTGCTCCGTGTCTGCGATGGTCTGGGGTTAGGCCTCACTGGGGGGGTTTGCAGGGTGGATGAGCTCCCCTGAGATCAGACCCTGACCGCTCCCTCAGGGCCCAGCGCCACCCGGCTGCCATTTGCCGGCTAAACCCGGCCGTGAGCCGGTTCGCCACGTCAGGGACCGGCTGGATGGAGGGGCCATGGGGGCAAAAGAGAGGGGGTATATGGGCTTGGGGGGGGGAACAGATGCCTACTGAAGCCACAAGGGACCTCCCTAAAATCATCCTCCTCCTTCTCCTTTTCTACCCACCTTTGCCTCTTTCCCGCAACTGGTGGTGCGCAGATTCATCTTCCATGATACATATCACCACTGTCTGTCTGTTCTGTTGCCTCTGAGGTGGAGGCGGGGAGTGGGGGGGGGATTAGGGGTAAGTCCTGATTTTTCTCCACTGCGTTTTGCTGACTGATTTTGCCTCTGCTCTTCTAACTCAAACCACAATCACAGATGTCAAATAAAATAAATAAAATCACTGATCATCACTACTTCAAAGTTCTCCTTGTTTGAAATAAGTTTTACAAAATGTATTGGTTATATTGTCACCTTCCTAATATAACATCCTCAAAAGTGATCCCCTCGCAGGCCATCTGATTGAGGCAAAAATTAAATAAATAAATTCCTCTAAGTAATCAGATTTAGGCTAAAAAATACCCAAACACTTTTGACAAAAAAAAAAATTCTAAAACTTCTAAGTCATCTGATTTAAAGGCGGTTGGGAATCACTTTTGGCAACAACAACAAAAAAAGACTTGGTCCATTATTTTAGGAAGGTGACAAAATTTAACTCTTTGAAGAATCTTGAATTAATTTTGAGTTACAACATTAAATTACCTTTTGGGATCAATAAAGTAGAATCTGATAGCAGAGAAAAACTAATTTCAGATTTAGAGCAGGAACAAGCTCTGTGAAAACTGTACAAATGCAGTAAAACTATCAAAAAGAAATAAAGTACACAGCTAAATGCAACTCTCAACAATTTCAAGGACTTGAATTATAGAAAACCGGTCACACATCTAGTAAACGCCATATATCACTAAATATAGACACACATTTGTGACACGCAGTGGAAGGTACCTATAATACAGGGAGGTTTCAGTTTGCGCATTGGTAAAAATGCTGCAACCTGCAACAAATCATGCAAAAACTTGAGGTAAATCAAGGCAAAAGAAAAATGGAAAAACAAACTTACCGCTCAGATCCAAAACCAAACTGGAGAAAAGTTCTGTCACGAAACGCAACCTTTGGGCAGTTCAGGAGCAAGGCCGACAGTCTAAAGACGGGGATTTCCCAGAATTGTTGGTGGTGAAATAAGCCCAGTATGCAAAGTTATTGACAATTTCCCTTTTTTTTTTTTTTTGTTTAAAAACAAGGAGAAAATTGCAACAGGATCCACCTGAGAAGATGAAGTCGAGGTCAACCTTTTACATTCTCCTTTTTGATCAGGAAACTCAGTGCAAAATGTCCCGAAGCTGCAGGTTTATCAATGTGACTGACAACAGATGGAGTGTAACTCGTCTACCATCCCCTCCCTGCACTGAGGCTGCTCCGTCTCCCCGAACCAAGGCAGCTTATCTGACAACTAGCTAACATCTCTCACTCCCTGACTTGAGCAAAGCTTCCTCTCAACACTCTCCAAACATCCCCCATCCATCTACCAATAAAAAGAGACCACTAAGATATGGTAAAATAGCTCCACCCCTTTGCTGCCCTCCCCTATTTTAACCTCACAAACACACACACACACACACACACACACACACACGCACACACACGCACACACACACACCATGTCTTTCTATCATTACATGGACTTTGCATTAACTACCATTCATTTCTACGGCCCATTACATTAAATATAACCATTACCAATACAGGCCTAACCCTAAAACTCAATTGAAACCTTAGTCCTAAACCTAACCCTTAACCCGAAAAACAGCACTTCTTCTTGTATTTCCAACACATACAGTGTAGTATTTGTTGGAAAAATGGGTCTTACATGGTGAAAAATGCTAAAACACACACACACACATTAGCAGCCTGTCCGCCGGCTCAAGCCATGAATGGACGAGAGGGTGTGAGTTTGACAATGGTGGGGAGGAGGGTGCAATGGAGAGCCCTCAGCGGGCAGCTGCACAGAGACTCACCATATTTAGAGGCATCAAAGACGCATGTACACAGCAGAAAGCATGAGTTAAAAAACAAAACAAAATACGGAGGACCCAGTTCAGAGCTCTGTGGAACACCTGGCCCAGTGGGGACGGCTGCTGCCTCCAACCCCTTTGTCTGTGGGACGGGGTCGACTAAGATAATGACACAAATTAGACTAAAGGTGTTTGATTCCAAACTGGATGCTAGGATGTGAGTTTGTGTTCATTGGAAGGAAATGGTAAAAGCACTGAAACTACTTGAGGCATAAAACGGAAAGAGTTGTTTAGTTATTTATGCATAAAATGTGTACAGCTTGATAAAGAAAAAGACAATACGCTATACATTTTAAGAAAAGAAGTAAAGTCAGATTGGGCTAAAGTGTAAATCATATTTTCATTGTCTATGTTCTCAGTACATCAATGTTATCTAACGTTTATTTTTGCTTTGGTTGCGGTATTCAGCTTCACCACTAGATGTCAGAATATTCTCCACATTGCACCTTTAATCTGTCAAGTTAGACTAGTTTCAATATCTGACTATATTTGCTCTCGGTGACATATCAGTTTCTGTCAACACTGGAAAAAAATAACACTGAAAATATTTTTAGAAATTAATTAAGAAGACAATTTTTATGAAATAATTCTATGCTAACAAAACCTTTTT